TATATGTAAATAAAACTTTTATATGATAGTTTTTATCGTAATACTATTTAACAGAAATATATATTTCAAAAAACAATTAAATAAAAGAAACAAAACGGACGGATATTTTCAGATATCGTAATGAAGTTGTAATTGGCAATAATTACAGAATAATAATTTTTCTCTAATTATTATTCTATATTTCTTCTTGCTCTTTATATTTGTTAATTACTTTCAATACATCAAGTACACAATTAAATCTCATATCGCATTTAACTTGTTTTAGACCAACATATGCACACTTTAACATATCATTTATGTCTTTATCAACATTATCGCTATCAGAAATATGTACTTTTTGTTCAGGTTTTTGTGAGATTATGTGTTCAACACTTTGTGCTACTTTTTGAAGTGACTGTACACCTGAACGCATATAATTATCCATATCTACGTTTTTTTTCTTATAAAATTCATCTGGTTCTGGTATTTTTACATTACTGTTCTCCTTTTGCTTGTATTTTTCCTTTGTGTATTTTTCAGTTTTGTTACAAAGTGCCTGTTTTGATGAAACTTTATTCAATACTGCATGTGCCATAGGGGAGAAAGGGACACGATCTTCTATATGAAAATTATGCATCTCATTTTTGTCATATGATGATTGTTGTGATATTGACAGCAGACTGTCATCTAAAACAATTAATAGAAAACGACCAATAAAAACCACTTATAATGAGTGCATAAGTCCTGATTACACATGATCAAATACCAGATATGATTGTTGAACTACAGACATTAAAACTATTTAGATCACAAATCATGATTGTGTATCAGGGACGTTTCCCTTACAAAATAATTTTCAGAAACTAAAAATCAGTGCTAATAAGAATAATTTCATATATATAAATACATACCACTGCTCAAAGATATGCTCTCATACGTGTACGTATCAGATTGTGCAGTATCAACGTCTGCAGTGCCTTGAATACCTATACATGAACTGTCCATGATTATAGGTGACGGTTTGTTAATAACAAACTAAGATCCACTTGATTCATCATTAGAAATACATGATGCAGGCCGCTTCATGTTTGATTTGGTTCTGTAAAAAAAAAATTAAAGTTTTATATATATACATACATACACATACATTTTTAAAGCTGCGTGTATGTACACACACACACACATCCATATACACAGCTTTAAAAACTATAAAATAACAAATAACAGTATACGAACTGCCGTGAACTATAATGTGGGACAAGAAATGACATTTCACCATAATACTGGAATTCCTGGGTGTCTTGGCTTGCACCCGATCCTGATCGCCCTTGCTCATAGTATTTTTTATGTTGACGTGACCACATAGCCCTTAGACTGTCCCATCGTTTTTGAGCTTGATCACCTAATATAAAAGTAAAAGAAATCATGATATTTAAAGTGATATTTTAAATAAATATTTTTAAATAATTGTACATACCTGTTTTTTTGTTGGTTAGAGCGGCACCTATTTGAGCCCATACTTCTTTTTTATCCACAGTCTTGAACCCTCGCATTTTTTTATTATATATGCAAGAATTAAGCTCAACGAGCTTAATAAGCTCCATAAAATCTATTTCTTCGAAGTGTAATAATTCCATTTTCTACTTTTACACAGTTTACGGCAGATTTTATAGGTTATACAAGCTCGGGTCTCTTGTTAAAAATGGCAGACACAATATTGCTTTCGATTGGTTAGTCACAACGTGATTTTAAGTTCTAACTCGAAAAAGATGGAATTTGGCCATCTCCACTCAGTCACTGACTACTGACTTATTCTTGTCTTATAACGCACTACTGACTCGCTAAAACTTGCTTCTGACTTCTGATTTATTACTAATATCTTATTGTAGAAGGCCTCTTACCGTTGGAAAGAAAATTGAAGAAATCTCAAATTTT